ATTGTATTCATTTTATTAAAAAACAAAATAAACTATGCACAACAGAAGAAAAATATAAATAAAATGAAAGGCAGCAGAAAGAAGAATATTTATTTAATATCTGCCCCTTTTAAAGAAATAGTAATTTACAAAAAACAAAACTAAACATAAACATCTTTATATTATATTAAGTTGTGTTCACCATTATTTATATTATATACTGCTCAAATATAAAGGGAACACCAACACAGTCTAACTACAGCACGTTCTTGCTCAATTTTTATTATTTCTGGTTTATTCAGTCCAAACTACTTCACTTTAAGTTTCTCTTCATACATTCTGCCTTAAAAAGGTTTAGATATAAGAGACTTACGGTGTTGTCTTCTCCTTCATTTCTCGTTTGTTGTTCTCTAAAATCCACCTGGTATTGCCCTGCAGGCTGCAGCCTTATGACGTCGAGTCGTCACCACAGGTGTGTGTTCGCAGGTCAGCTGTGAACACAGGCCACTCTATACTTTTGCATTGAGAACTTACTGCACATGACCAAAATCTTCACATGAGTTGTGTACGGGAATCTGGGGCGGTGAACCCAGCGTGACCCGGAGGTGACTCGCATGAAAACGTTCATGAGTAAAATAGAAGTTTACACATCAATAACTATAAATTATTTACTTTGGTTATCAGAAAACATATATACGATATATTGTCGAAACATTTATAACATTTTCTTTTCTTTTATTTTTGTGAAYGTGCGCCCCCTATTGACCAGTCTCCACTGCATGTACCGTCATCCATTAATCGAAGTTGGCGTGATGGTTTCCAGTCACGTGATTTCAACCTCCATTTCTTGTGTCTAGGGACGGGACTCCTAATCAAAAGTAGAGACTTAGAACTAAATTAAGTTACTCAGACTTTAACCTGATTTTATTCAAAATGATTACATTTACAAATAGTTTGAGACCTACAGTGTGTACCAGTGAAGCTAAAGTTCAAGTCTTTAGTCTGTGAGAGGAAACTGGATAAAACACCACCCAGCAGGAGAACGGGTTCTCTGCAGACTCAAAGTAGGCGTGTCACAAGAGTAGGCATGTCTGAAGGATAAACACTGATTGGCTAGTTTTATTTGCTCTGTTTTTCAAAAGATCTATACCTTGTCATACTCTTGTGTACTAGTGGTAAATGCTATTAAATGCTACATGTAGAAGAAAGGAAATGGACAGTATAATCAAAATGGTTTGAGGGCGGAGTCAGACGTCGATATCGATTTTATTAACAATAAAATTAAAATAATGGGAGATTTTAGTATTCATGTTGATAGTGAAAGTGATAGCTTAAATATAGTTTTTAGTAATTTAACTCTCCTCATCACAGTCTTGATCTGGTTCTGATGTATGGTGTACAGAGTAAAAACTTAATGATATATCCTCACATTCCTGTTCTCTCTGACCATATCTATCTATCTATCTATCTATCTATCTATCTATCTATCTATCTATCTATCTATCTATCTATCTATCTATCTATCTATCTATCTATCTATC